CCTCTTTGACTGAGTTTCAACCACCCACCCAATTTCTCATGAAAAAATTGTTTTTAAAAACTGTTTTTGGCTGAGTTCCAATTGGCCTGCTGGCAGGACAGAAGTTCCCACTAGCATACTAGTCACTTGAGGAACAGAGGCTGCTCCTTTTCCCTGTTTCCTTCCCAGGTGCAGAACTGCAGCTTGAGGGCTCCCTGCCAAAGCTACCCCTGTTGACTACACAGGGGTAGGCAACCTTTCCCCTTTAAGGGCCGAGGGACTTCAGCTCCCAGAATCTCAGGAGCTATTGGCCAACATGGGACTATTGGCCAACATGGCTGAGGCTTCTGGGAGCTGAAGTCCCTCGGCCCTTAAAGGGGAAAGGTTGGCTACCCCTGACTGATTTGCTGGCTACAGGGGTGCACCCAAAGAGGTTCCTGCTGCCCTTGTGCACCTAGGGAAGAAGGTTCATTCTCCATAAGGCTGCTTCCTTGGGTGTTCCAGGGCAGCTGGAATGGGATCACCCCTAAAGCCAGGGGGATGGAGCTGTGCAAAGGAAACCTCTCAACTGTTGCACCACCAGGGCAAGGATGCTGTGGAAGATACTGACTACCTCTTTCCGCAACACCCCTGAAAGTAGTCAGAGGCTGCACAAGTGTCATGGGGTTATGGCAGGGTTCAGGCCATAATGATATGCACATGCAATGAATGATATACATACTGGCCAAGTGATGAGTATACCTGGCTATGCTGTTAAAAACTAAAGCTTCAATATTGGCTATGCATCTGCAGTGAGTCCATGCAAAAGGAGCATCTTAGGCTGACATCCCTCCCCCATCTGCCATAAATGAACATGCCTTAGCCATGCCCCTTGGACTCTTTGAGGCAGTTGCTTGCTTTGAAGAGAACAGCAGATGTTTTAACCTTCTTGTGAATCTCCAGCTAATATCTTACTTGGCTTTCCTGCTGTGCCATAGGGAATGATAGAAAGTCTGTCCACATCATTGGGTGTATCTGTCCACTTCTTGCTACTCATGTGGAGGACTGAAAATGGAAAAGGTATTTCTTAATATGCTCTCAGACATACTGGCTGGCTAGCTAGCAGGTAACAAGTAGCATGGCAACACTATCAGGTATATCTTCCAGATAAAAACAGGAGCTAAAGACTTAGTTACCGTATTTACATTTGTTTAGGCTGTGTGGCCATGTTCTAGAAGAGTTCTAGAAACTCTTCTAGAACATGGCCACACAACCCGGAAAAAACCCCACAAAAAACCTATGGATGCCGGCCATGAAAGCCTACAACGTTACATTAGTTTATATCCCACCTTGTTTCTCAACAAGGGACTAGAGGCAGCTTACAATAAGGTTGAAGCAAGATACCACTAAACACTTGATGATACAAGCTTTTTTAAAAAATTAAATTATCTATCATGTAAAAATGTTGTTGTTGTGTGCCTTCAAGTCATTTCCAACCTATGGTGACCATAAAACAAAACTATTATGGGGTTTTCTTGGCAGGTTTCTTCAGAAGGGCATTTCCATTGTCCTCCTCTGAGGCTCAGAGTGTGTGACTTGCCCAAGATAACCCAATCGGTTTACATAACCTAGTGGGAATTCGAACCCTGGTCTCCAGAGTCAGAGTCCAATGCTCTAACCACTACACCAAGCTGGCTCTCATGGTAAAAATATCTGTATTTTAAAGTCATATCAAATCATTTAAAAGACATAATAACAAAGTTAATAAATACAGTATACATCTCTCATTAAAAACCATTTTTAATAATCCATTAATCATCAAATGCCTGTTATATTTACCTGCTAGTGAAAAGAGACCAGGAAGGGGACAGCTTAACCTCTTGTGGTAGGGAATCCCACAGTCTGGAAGCAACCACTGTGAAGGTTATCTCATATGTCCTCACCAGACAGGGCTGGGAAGATAGTGAGACCAGGGGTAGGCAACCTGTCCCCTTTAAGGGCCGAGGGACTTCAGCTCCCAGAAGCCTCAGCCATGTTGGCCAATAGCTCCTAGGATTCTGGGAGCTGAAGTCCCTCGGCCCTTAAAGGGGACAGGTTGCCTACCCCTGGTGAGACCATGCGAAAGCTCTCCCCTGAGGATCATAGGATGCAGGCAAGTTCATATAGGGCAGGGGTAGGCAACCTTTCCCCTTTAAGGGCCGAGGGACTTCAGCTCCCAGAAGCCTCAGCCATGTTGGCCAATAGTCCCATGTTGTCCAATAGCTCCTGGGATTCTGGGAGCTGAAGTCCCTCGGCCCTTAAAGGGGAAAGGTCGCCTACCCCTGATATAGGGAGATGTGATTTTTCAGATAGTCAGGACTTGAACTATATAGAGGTTTATAGGTCATAACCAGTGCCTTGAATTGTGCCCAGCAATGAACAGGTAGCCAGTGAAGCTGTTTCATCAAGAGAGTTATATGTTCTTGAAAGACTGAAAAATTTAGGAACCTGTTAGGAGTGAGATGCTCTCAAAATTTATTCTCCCATTTCTATACTCTGTGCTTGAATTTGAAACCAGTTGGGAGACAGCCAGTGCAATTCTTATTAGGTAGAAAAAGCCTCTTATGACAGCAAGCATGGCATAGTGGTTTGCGTGTTGGACTATGACTCTGGGGATCAGGGTTCAATTCCCAGCTCGGTCATGAAACCCACTGGGTGACCTTGGGCAGTTCACATGCTCTCAGACTGAGAGGAAGGCAATGGCAAACCTCCTCTGAACAACTCTTGCCATGAAAACCCCATGATAGGGTTGCTTTAGGGTTGCTGAGTTGGACACAGCTTGAAGGCACACAACAAGACCAGGCATCTTACCCTAACAGTATTAGACAGAAGGTAGTTTTAAAGAGATTATTTAGTGTTACTTATTGATTATGCATACATATCTTTTACCAGACTGTAATCTCTCGTCAAACAGGTTTTTTGAAAGAACACCAAAAATATACAGTTGTCCCTCCCCATTTGCGGACTTCAAGTCCGCGGTCCTGCTCTTCGCGAGAGGGACAAGCGGAGAGGGATATAATGGCCATGTGCACCATTATTTTCAATGGTGCTTGAATATTTGCAAGCTGCCATTTTCACGGGGGGCGGGTCTGGAACGGATCCCCCGCAAATTGGGGGGGGGCTACTGTATAGAAAACTTGGAGGTAGTGTGCTAAAAGTAACTGTGTTACCTATAGCATGTTACTTTTGTGGGTAACAAAGGCATAAAGTAGAAAAGTAACATAATAGCATTTCCCATATGATAATACTGTATTTACTTGTTTCTTTTTTAGAGCTAAAAATGCTCTTCAAAATGGTTTTTTAAATTACACTATTTTCATACTTTTTAGATCTCCCTCTTTCTCTGTGTTTTACAATTAGCAGCATAATGAGTATCATAATCAGGTGCTGAAATACACATGATTGTAATTCTAAGCACTGTCTCCACTACTCTCATGATGGTCTCTGCCACAAATTATGTAACAAATTACCTGTAACTTTCTAGGCTGTGGCATGAAATGATAGAAGGATGATTGTAGGCCTCTGTGGGATAGAGGCCTACAGAATCATAGTACTGGAAGAGATCTCAAGGGCCATCAAGTCTGATATGACTTAGAGATATGTAAGACCACGGCGCCCATCGTTCCCACTTAGCATAGCCATTGAACAAACTGGAGGTGAAGGCAGTTTTTATAGTCTGATTGCTTCCCCACACTGCAGAAATAAAGCAGTTTGACACCACTTTAGCTGCCGTAGTTTGGTGGGGGGACTCCTGAGATTTGTAGTTTGGTGGGGGATTCAACCTGGTCTGTCACAGCACTCTGGTGCCTCACCAAATTATGAATCACAGGATTCTCTAGGATAGAGTCATGGCAGTTAATATGGTGTCAAATTGCTTTATTTCTGCAGTGTGGATACACCCTAGCATGTCTGCAGGACATAAATTGGGAAGTTTAGTAAGCACAATGGGCAAATATGTCTTTTTTGTACCAGTTTCAACACTAGGGGGGTAGAGGACTATTGTTTTTAGTAGATAGTTGTAAGAATCCTTTAATATTTTTTCCCCTCCCAGACTCCTAAGAGCACTTTATAGATAAATTGACAAAGGAATGCAGGATCTACATGGAGCTTTTAACCATTGGCATTGATCAGGATATCTGTTTTGCATTCGCCCCTCTTCTCTCCCTCTCTCCTCCCCCCTTTCCTCTGTCAAAAGCTGGCAGATTGCAAGTGGCACTTATAACGTACAGACTAGGTTGTGATTACCCATTGGATAACATTTTAATTGTGCTTCTGGCACTCTGTCAAGCTAATCTGAACTGCATTTCAATATTACAACATTTATTTAGGGCCATAACAATATGGATTAATCTTAAATTATAATAGAGGGAGAATTCTGTTACACTTATTTCCTATTTGCCAAATATTTTAAAATGAGGTCCTGACAAGAAACAAAAACAACAACCATCCCACCTCAACACACACCCTTTCTAACCTCCTTAAAAGCACAGATGGGACTGAGAAGAACAAGACAAAAATGACATGTATTTATTAATACCTGCAGCACTTCTGGTTAAAAAACAGAAAGTAAGTAAAAGTAGGCATTTCACTTTTGGAGTCTGCGTTTTTTAATTGCAGTCAGGGACAAAGAAGTGACAAACCACCATCCAGGTGGTGCAAATGACTGGTTTCAGTCTGTTGAGAATTAAGTCATGCTTCACACAATGAATCTGATGTGACAGAAGGCAGCTTGGAATATCCATTGGTAAACATGCTCATACACATGTGTGTGCAGCCACACACATACACTCACAAATTGAATGTTTCTGACATCCATGGATATAAACCTGTAGCAATTCCTATTATTGTCACAGTGTGTATCTACACTGGAGAAATAATGCAGTTTGACACCACTTTAACTGCCATGGCTGAATCCTACAAAATCCTGGGATTTGTAGTTTTGAGTGGCACCAGCACTCTGCCAAAGAGTGCTGGCTAAAGATCCTATAAAACTACATGACCCAGGATTTTATAGAATAGAGCTGCAACACTTAAAGTGGTGGAAAACTGCATTATTTCTACAGTTTAGATGAACCCACAGAAACCTTTTATCGTAGTTAAACCCTATAGTCACAATCACCTTGTTACACAATCACTATTTCAGTTGAATATTTTAGCAAATGAACTTGGTTTGCTCTCTAGTTTCAGTGTGCTCCACCTAAACACAAAACAGAACAAAATATCCTATTTATCCAATCATATTTTCAATGTCTCTGCATCTATTCTTTCTTTTATTAATATTTTCATAACTAATTTCAGCCAATAAGCCCTCAAAGTATGGTTTGACATTAATTATAGTTTGTTGGATTTGGATGACACAATGTTCCTTTTCACAGTGCACAATTATAGTGCTACATTCCACTTTTACTGCCATGGCAACATCCTATAAAAACCTGAGGTTTGTTGTTTCCTGGCTGGGAATTCCAAAGCCCACTGCCATTCTCAGGATTCCACAGGATGCAACCAACACAGTTAAAGTGGAATCATAGTGCTATAACTCTGTGGTGTGAAAGGGCCTAGCCATCTGTGGTGAATCTAAACTAGAAGCAAAAGTTTCCCTATTTCTCCCCTTGGTCATGCTGGAGAAGAGGCACTATAACTCATAGCTGTCATGCTAAGTGAAACTATAGTTTTGTTTCATGTCTGAATGTAGTTCAGGGACTGATGTTTTCATGCAGTGCTTAACTGTTTCCATGATGCAACTGTTTGTGACCCTGTGGTACCGTATCAGATATTGGAGATCTCTGTGGTTCATTGATTCATTCCTCAGTGCTTTCCAAATCTTACTTTGTTTTTCCTGGTTCCAGTAACACAGAAAGGAAGAATTCAAAGACATACCCATGTTATTCTGGATCAGTATATCAGACAAGGGTATGTCAGTATATCAGACAGAAGTTAGGAAACATGTTGTGATGAGAGATGAGAGAGGTTGTTCTAAATATCTGATCATATTTTGCGTAAATTAATATTTAAATTTAATATCCTACCCAGTGACACAAGTTGGTGCTTTCTCTTGAAATTTCTTCTCTTAGGTTCCAGAGGATTGGCAAAATGGCACCAGAGGAGATCAGGGTTCCAGAGGAGTGTTCCTAAGTCTCCCAAGTTGTTTCAGGAGATTTATTGTAAGAAGAGAGCTAATGGCTGAAGGCACTCTCCTGGCCAGGTGCCAGGCAGAAACCATGTAATTTTAGTGAAAATCAGAACAATTCCATAGGATCTGACAGTTCAAAATATGGTCAGAAGTAGTCTCCTCCTGAAATGGATATAGCCATGTCTGAAGACAGGAATGGCAGAAATTGTCCTTCAAGGAGGTTTTAGAATTGTATGTAGTCTTGTCATCCTAACAAGTTCTAATAATTGTCAGAGAAAAGAAGCAGAAACCCAGCTGGGAACCCAAGGAGTAGGAGTAGGAGCTCACTGTGTCTTGCCAGTGAGTCACTGGAGGAATTGTTATCCTAGCTTGCTCCTACTTGTAATGGGCCCATTCATTAAAAGAGCTGGTAAACTTGCCCTCTGCTGTGCGTATGCTAGGGACAAGAGCCCCTGTTGCAAAGATATCCCTGGTGGGAAGAGTAAATTGGTCCCTGTGCTGCAAACCCAATTTCTAGGTTAAGT